TGTTTCTCTTTTATCCAGCAACCCTGAGGGTCTTCCCCTCCCAGTTTGATTTTTTTTTTTTAAATTAAAAAAGCCATCCCTTGACTCACTTCTTAAAGAGGCCTATTCACTGAATGGGCATTGCCTCACTCAAAGTGAGAACTCCAACAGACCTTAGCTTATAAAGGCCAAGGTCTCCCAAAGCATCCTGGGCCATCTCCAGTTGTCCTGATCTATATCTGGCCACTGGACCCAGATGGCTCCAATGGAGAAAGTGAGGCTGGTGACTTTGCACAGCCCTGCCTCACTCAAATCCAATTCACTTGCAAGTCAAGTCATCATTTCCCTGATGTCACGGTCCTCTTTGATACAAGACAAACCACAAGTTCTTTACTAGGGGACAGCTGAGAAAACAGTCTCAGCCTTCGGCTTTCGCTTTTCCTGCTGACATCTTCCTGAGCCATCTCCTGTTAGAGAGTTAGTCCCAGCTTCTTGCATCCTCTATAACCTCAGTTCCCTTCTGCTGATGGTCATGGACATGGACAGGTTCCCTCAGCTAGAAAGACGCAATGGTAGCTTGACCCATCTTGAGTATCCAATTCTGATTTGGAGCCCAAATCCTTGCTCTTCAGAGAATGAGGCATCCCAGCTGTCAAGTTCAAGGCTTTGTGAAAAGCCATTCAAACAAACTCCTTCCACTCCTTTAGTCAACAGATTTGATCCTTGTGTCCCAGAGACAGAAGCAACCCCACCCTATCCAGGGAAAAGGAATTCTGCAGAATGAGTGTTTGGAACGTAACAAAAGCCAGAGCTGGCGACCTTCCTTCTATCTCTACTCCAAGAAACTAGCAAAACTGGTTCCCAGTCCTTCTCCTCACCAGGTACAAGCCGTTCTGTACCTCAATTTCCCCACAGGAGTAGATTTCAAATAACATTTTCTTTTGTAACTCTTCACTGTGATACAGTGAATGAGTATAATATCTGTGCTGGGGTCTTATCCGCACACTGTACTAGAATCTCCTTGAGCCAAGGACTATGTCTTAGCTAAACTCTGTATCTCACTCACAACCTAGGATAGCACTCTGCACAGAGAAGGCACTTAACACGTTTTTGATGCTTCGCACATGAATGACAGAACCAACAATACCCATTATGGTACCAATGGTAACAATGGTGCTAAATAAATGGTACCCTGCCCAAGCAGAGGACAGAATGCCCTTACCCATCTGTTCAAGCAGCCATGTGGAGAAGGGAGAGAGTATGTTCTCAAGAAGCCTAGAGTAAAGGGAAGAAAGTGGGGGGAAGGGGGAAGTAACATGATAGAGACACACAGTCCTAGCATGGGGAAAGAATGCTGTATTTGAAATGAGCACCTGGGTTCAAATCCAGTTTCTGCCACTTACCACCTTTGTGATCTTGTACAAGGCATTTTTGAGACTCGGTTTCCCCAACTGTAAAATGAGGGGGTTAGACTAAGATTACTTGTTAAGTCCCTTCCCATTCTAAATCTGTGATCCTTATGATTCTGAGCCCTTGTTCTAGAAAAAAATGGCAAGCATTGCCCATTTCACAGATGGGGAAGCTGAGGTCCTAAAACATGAGGATCAGAAACAGTTAGTCAGTCAACAAGAATTTATCTAGCAGACCAGGAAATCAGTACCAAGTCCAAGCTCTCTCTGTTTCCTTCAGGCCCCTGATGTTTGTCTAACCTGAATTCCCTAACCCCTTGAAGGAAAAGAATTAATAATTCAGGATCTTTTCAGTCCCTCTCCAGATAGAACATCTAGAAAAACCAATGAAAGCTGCCAACCCCCTCCTGCAGAACCATCTAGAATTCCAGAATGTTTCCAGTGATACCAAGTCTCTATTGTGAGGATAATCCCAGGCCAGTGTGATGGGACAAAGCGTATTTGAGTCCCCTCTGTGTGCACTGGCTATGTGTCTACTGTGCTGGAGAGGACATGAATGTGTCATCTGGATAGCAACTCGGTTTTATAACATTCATAGCCCACAACCTAGAAGCTTTTCCTTGGTAGATGCTTAATACATATTTGTGGATTGATGGCTTGTTATAGATAGAAGAGGTGGAGAGGTTCTTGCCATATATGGTGCATGTGCGTGTGTGCAAGGGAGGCTGGGAGCTCTCTTGGCTTCCTAGGCATCTCACTGAGAGATTGGACAGACAGTTTCCATGGCCTCTGAGCCCCTCCTCTCCTGCTCCCCCACCCAGCCAGGCAGCCTCGACCCTGATAAGACACTACAAAGGGGAGGCTTTGTCTGGGGAAGAGGAGGCCTCCCTTCTCCAAGCAGCCCGGCAGGGGGGATTGGGGGAGGGGGAAAGTAAGGTATCAGACAAAGCTTTCATTCTAGAAATGGCCCTCACAGGCCTCTGCAAAAGGTCTGAGGGAAGGGAGAAGCAGACCGGGAAACCTAGATAACTGTGGCCACCCCCATTTCTATACCAGGACAAAAATGTTTGCTTTTACCTACTGCCAGTATGACCTTGGGCGAGTCATTTGGCTTATCTCTGGGTCTCAGTTTCCTCTTCTATTAAATGAGGGGTTTGGACTAGCTGACCTCTGCTTCCTTCCAGCTCTATATCTGTGATGCTATGGTATTTTCCCTATCCCACCCGGGAAAGGGATCTGCTTGGGCCTGCTTTATGGGCTGGGAACAGGGGAGACACGTTGGTCATAGATGGGACAGGGGGAAATTTTAAATCTCTCCTGACAAAGAGAGAGGTTGCTGGAGCTTCCCATGTAGGCAAGGGGGACTTGCCTGCCGAAGGCTTAGAATGGCAGGAAACTCCTCATTTTACTGACTAGGAGGCCCCTTTGGGGACAGAGCAAGGATGGGGCCAGAAACACCTAGCCTGTAGGTGGGATACAGGCTGAAGATCTCCAATTTGCCTTGGGACTCTGGGCCTTAGCTCTTAATTCTTCCATCTGTAACATGGAAACACATTCCTTCTGGTCCCACTTAAACTGCCATGGATAGAAAATCCAAGAGATCCAAGAAGAAAAGGGAGATTTTGGAAATGGAGCTATGGTAGGATTACTATCAATTACCTAAATATGCCCTTCCAGGCTAGCTTCCTTGTCAGCTGCAACTGATCAGGGATGACGGAATTTAGAGCTGGGAGGGCCCTGGGAAAGTTGGTCCAAACCCCCCATTTTGCACAAGAGGAAATAGGTCCAAAGAAAGAAAGGTGACTTGGCTAGGGTCACCCACATAGTGAATGACAGAGGAAGGATTCTAATCCAGAGCCTTTGATCACAAAACCAGGGCTTCTTTCCTCCTCACCATCCTGGACTTCAGCCTGCTTTTTATTATCAGCCCAATAAAAAACAAAGGAAGAAAGGAAATCTTTAGCCTTGAAGGCCTAGTTGAAATTATTTTGCATAATCCACAGTCTAAGACTTATCTTTACTATCACTTATTCCACTATCAGGTTGTCAGTATCAATCACCCAAAAGAAAAATTACCTGGAGAAAGGTAATAGAAAAGTAAATTAAATGGAAACTCAGGATGCTCCATAGAAAAGGCAAAGAAGTGAGTGGAAGCAGTTCAGAGACACAGGAGACGAGTTCTCCCCTCATCTCCTCATCGGGTCACTAGTGATGTCCAGGTCAATTTGGGGTGCAGTTAGGTGGCTCAGTGGAGAAGAGTGCTGGGCCGGGAATTAAAATCCAGCCTCAGACATTAGCTGTGTGACCCTGGGCAAGTCATTTAACCCTGTTTGCCTCAACTTCCTCATCTGTAAAATGAGCTGGAGAAGGAAATGGCAAACCACTCCAGTGTCTTTGCCAAGAAAACCCCACGGACAGTACTGGTGTGATACAGTCCAAGGGGTCACAAAGAATCAGACACAACTTAACAACAACAACATAGACAAGGCAGCTGGTAGGCGCAAGGGCTACCAACACCAAAATGACCAGCAGTCCCTCCTCTCCAGGAGCCTGCCTTCCACTGGCACATACAGCATGTGAACAGAAAACACAAGATCATTTGAAGAGGAAGGAACACTAACAGGAGGGGGATCAGCAAAGGCTTCTGGCCGTCGGCCCGGTGGACAGAGCCTTGGAGTCAGGAAGACCAGAGTTCAAATCCAGCTGTAGATACTTAGTAATTGTAGGACTCTGGACAATTCACTTAACTTCTATTTGCCTCAGTGTCCTCTACTGTAAAATGGGGACAATAATTGCACCTACCTCCTAGGGGTGTTTTGAGGATCAAAGGAGATAATCACTAAAGTGCTTAGTACAGTGGCCCGCACGTGGTAAGTGCCATATAAATGTTAATTGTCATTGTTATTATCGTTATTGTTATTATTATCATTATCATTATTCATCTGAACTGAGCCTTGGAGGATTTTAAGAGGTGAAGCTGAGTATGCATTCCAAGCTGGGGCTCTGCCAGTGAAGACAGTTCAAGATGTATCAATGCTGCCCCCAGGGACAACAGGGGTCACTGCTCCCTTCTTCATCAGCCCCTCCTCCCCTGTGCCGATCACGAGAAAACAGCCTGTCCCTAAACAAACAGCATGTGACCCAAGAGGGCACTAGGCTGCCCAGAATGCCCATGGGTGATTCTGGCCAATGAGAAGAAAAAAAGAAGAAAGAAGAAAAAGAGGAAAAGAAATCTCCCAAGTCAGAGCTTAGGCAGGAAGACCATGCTAGTGAAACAAAAGCAATATATCCCCAGGCACTCAGGGACAGAAAGACAGCAGTGGGATGGACCCTGCCCCAGCCCCGAGAGAACTCCAAGGAGCAAGGGGGATGTGGCGCTTCCAGTGTGGCTGGCCAAGGGGTGGGGGCCTGTTCCTATAGATCCCACTAGGCAATTTCCAGGGGTGAACATATATGCCCTGACCAACGATAGCCTAGCTGACAGGTGAGCAGCTTCCTGCTGCTGCAGAGGAAGGGGAGAGAAGGGTGTTTAGGTGAGGGGACAGGACAATCAGTGAGGAGATAGGATGAGTGATAGCAATGGTTCCTTCCCTCCCCCAGAGTTCAGAGAAAGGCTCATCTCTTCCCCTTATCTCTTCATTCATCTTACTTCCTTCCCAAAGGAGGGGCAGAGGGACAAACAGGTTTCGAGCCAAGAGAGGAAGAAGCCAACCGCTCTGCGCTCCACACTGCTCAATACTGTGTCACGCACACCACCTTCTGCTGAGCGAACCAGCTCATAAAACTCCCGACAAAGAAGAATAAAGCAGCCCCTGTCCTTCCCGGGGCAGCTCAGGCCAATATAGATGTCCTAGGAGAAGGATCCTGAAACCAGGAAGGCACATTTGCTGCGGTGTAGCACCTCTCGCTCTCTTCCCAGATTCAGGCAGGTCTCCTTATGGTAAGTTACCAGGCTCTTTCTGCTTGCTGGGACAACCCTACTAATTCACACCTGTCCCACAAAGAGAAAGGGTAGAAAGAGGAGACAGTGGCTTTTCTAACTTCCCTTATATTACCCCCCACCCAAAACCTTGCCTCACCTCACAGGCTTAATTCCTGCTAAGCTCCTTACATCTGGGGGGCAATGCCCTTGTCATCCAGCAAGGTGCCCCTCGAACTACCCCTACCCCAAGCCTACCTCTCCTTCTCTGTAAACAATGGCTGAGAATGGGGTAAGGAAGGCAGCTCCAATTTTGTATGCAGCATAGCCAATCAGACCATTGTCTCTGTTTCAGGACAGAGGTCTGGGGCTTCATCCACCCCTCACATCCACCCCTCTGCCTAAAATACATGTGGGCAGTGATATCTCTTAACTTTATGTTAAAAATAAAAAACAAAAAAGCTGAGTATTCACATCCTGTTACCATAAAAGAAAAGGCTCATCAAACATCTTAGCATTGTCACATCCCCGCATGCCCTCCCTGTACTCCTGAACAGCACACACAGGCGAACAACAGTAGACAGAGAGACACTCACCGGCTCTCAGGAGTCCCCTCTCTGCATCCTCTAGCCCTGACTTCTTCCACTCCAGGAATAGAGAAAAGGCTTTCCTTTTAATACTCGCCAGGTCCCTGGTGGGTAGCAATCATTAACAGCCACACATGCTGGCTGACGGGCCTTAATTCTTTAACCCCTTCAATGCTGCTGGGGTGGCTTGGTTTCTGCCACTGGGCAGCCCTTTGCTCTCAGGTCCTCCAGAAATAGGAAGCTCCCACCTTGATGCCACCTACCTGAGTTATTCTGCTACCTCCCATGTTCCACCCAGGTCTCCCCACAGGATTGGAGAAGAGATGCGACCTGAGGCAGCCAGCCCTGGCGCTGTGCCCAATTGGGTAAGCCCACATTATGAAATATTTGCCCAGAGGCCCAATGAAAGAGGAGATCTGGGGAGGGGATATTTTATTTGTGGAAGGGGGAGGCAGACGTGGTCACGGCATCACCGAGTCTGGTTGGATCAGAGGGCGGCGGGGAAGTGTCCCCACATAGATGACCACTCACCTTCTTTTTCATCTTAACCTTTACCTTTTTCCCTACCCTCTTTCCTGGACTGGCATAATAATCCCTTCCTTCCAGACTTCCCCCCTAACTAGCTCAGATTACTTCTGTTTGCTGCAGCATCAAAGCCTGGCTGAATCCCCTCCTCTGGGATTTCCCTGTCCCAGCCAGAGTCTGAAGAACATAACCTACAGGGATGGAAATCAGAAAAGGGGAGGCCACTCATGCACATGTTATCTGCATAGGTTTGCATAAGCAATTAGGCCCCCAGGTATGCTTTATTATGTGCAAAATACAGGAGACATCACTTTGAAATCTTTTGGAAAGAGACAGATGGAGGGTGGGCAAGTACTGGGCAGAGTCAAACACCCCCTCTATTTCTTTAAAAATAGGCAATGAATTTTTGGGAAGTCTAAATGAAGACAAGGACTATCTACAGGCATGATGAATGCAAATATATTTAGATTTATTCAAATGAATTGGGCATGGTTTTCCCAGAGCTCGTCATTTCCATTAAAATTTGAGGGACAACCAAGGCTCCTGAGTTGAATCAGAGCATCTTCCCATGAGTTAAAGATAGCAATTCTTCCTCTCCCCATCTCTGATACTGCGGTCTACACCGACCTAAATTACCATTTCTCCTCCTTCTACAGCCCAAACCCGTTTCAGCTCTCCACACTGCCTGATGAGGTACGGAGCCCACGTGGGCAGTCCCTCATGGCCCCTGGCTCCTGTTCAACTCCCAGTGGTTTAACCGGAGGGACCAGAGCTGAAATTTCCTCAGCTGAGGTGGTCTTATCTTATCTCTCTCTGGACCCCCTCCCAAATCTCAAACTAGCTCTGGTCTTTTAAAAGGGCTGCATCCAATTCCTACCTGCAGGGGGGTTGGGGTCTGGGGAGAACGACTTTTTTTTTTTTTAGGGTAGAGCTGGAGCTGGGTAGAGGGAACTGGATGAATTCCATCCTCCTCTGCTCCTCCCCCCCCAACTAATAGCTTACAACAAAGACCTGGTATCAATCTATTACAAAAAGAAAAAGAAAAGAGATTCTACTTGCTCCTTTACAGTGAGTCCCACTCATTATGTGAAAATGCATAGCAATTCTTTTCCTGGTCTCATCCTTTCCACCAAAGTCTTGGTTCCTTTCTTTAAAACGCTTCTGGCGTCATCCGGTGTCAGTGTGGGTTAAAGAAAATGACTAGCTGGGCTCCACCTAGAGGCCTAGGCCAGACAGCAGCCACGTCTCACCCATGACAGGAAAGTGGGAAAAGGACCTATTGGAATCACTGGACTTGGAACACAAGCCTTTCTCAGGGGACAAACTTGCTGTTCAGTAGTGTCTGACTCTTGGTGATCTCATTTGGGGTTTTCTTGGCAACGATACTGGAGTGGTTTGCCATGTCCTTCTCCAGCTCATTTTACAGATGAGGAAACTGAGGCCAGCAAGGTGAAGTGACTTGCCCAGGGTCACAAAGCTAGTAAGTGAGGCCAGATTTGAACTCAGGAAGAAGAGTCGTCCTGACTCCAGGCCTGGTGCTCTATCCACTGTGCCACCTGGCTGCCCTTGGCAAACTTGAGGGTAACCAAAGGGTTGACTAGAGTATGTGAGTTTCAGATCCTCTACTGCCTTTTATTTCAGAAGCAGGAGGCATCAAGATACAATAGAAATAATGCTTACTCTGGAACCCAAAGACCCGAATTCAAATCCCATTCATAATGCTTATGACTTGTGTAACCTTAGGCACGTCCCTTAACCTCTCTGGGCCTCAGTTTCTTCATCAGTAAAATAAGGGCATTGACCTAGATGGCCTCTGAGACCCCTCCTAGCTCTAAATCTCTGATCCTAATATCTACGTGGATGATAAATAAGTTTATACTTAACTCACAAGTTTAGATCAGATAATGTAACTCCTTTCAGTATGATCCCTGCTTGATGCTATTTCTTTCTGTCATTAAGCCCTTCTCCATAACTGTATTCTGGCTTCTTTTCTTAGGTCAGTGAATGCTATGGCGGTCACTAGAGTCCGAGGCTGAGGCTTCTGGAACGTAGCCACTAGCAGAGCCAGGAAAGGGTACAGGGTAGGAGTAAGGGAATAGAGAAAAAGATGAATGAGCAAAGGGAAGGATCCAGGGTTAGAGAAATATCAACCAAAGGAATGACAGGAAAGATAAGGACAAAGCTATCGAGGAAAAAGCTTCCAAAAATCTAACTGAGTCATTCACTTTGATGGGAGCACACACTCCGAAAAAAAAAGCCCAAAGCCCAAGGCAGGAAGTCTGCTGGGTGCGGCAGCAGCTGGATGCTGTTAGTGAGCTCCTGAACGCAGACCCAACTCAGTCTGACCTGCCTTGCCCTACCCCCTTCTCGTCTCCCCCATCCCCAGTGCAAGAGTAGCATATGGCTGGGAGCCCAACCACATTCACCCCTGTCTGTAGGACAAGGAAGGGGGCAGAAAGGGAACCCGCCCTAGAGGGTGGAGAAAGCTCTGGAGATGGTCCAAGGAGAAGCGGAAGAGAGAGATGGAGAAAAACAGAGACAGAGGGAGACAGAGACAGACAGAGAGAAAGAAACAGAGAGAGAGGGAGAAGAAGAAGAAGAGAGAGGGAGAGAGAACAGACAGACAGACAGACAAAGAAAGACAGAGACAGGGAGACAGAGACAGAGAGAAAGACAAAGACAGAGAGACAGAGACAGAGAGAAAGAAACAGAGAGAAGGAGGAAGAGAAGAAGAAGAGAGGGAGAGAGGAGAAACACAGAAAAACAGAGATAGAGGGAGACAGAGACTGACGGAGAAAGAAACAGAGAGAGAGAAGAAGAAGAAGAAGAGAAAGAAGAGAGAGAAAGACAGGAAGACAGTCTCATTAAGCCTGGTCTGTCTCCCTCCAATCTAGCTCTGTGCCACTCCTCCCTACCCCCACTCCTCCCTGGCAGCCAGAGAAGGCACAGTTCTAAAGCATTGCCCAGGGCGAAAGTGTTAGTCTACTAGTGGGATTTCCCCCACAAACTCAAGAACACAGCAAAAGCTCTCCAAGTTTTTCCTCACCCTCCTTCAGCCTTCTCTGGCTCAATGGAAGATGAGTGACAATTTCTCTACATGAACAACTCACTTGTTTCTCCCCCACAAAGTGCTCTATAACTAGTTCCCAGGATCATGGATCTAGGCCAAAGGGCGGCATCTCAGAAGCCACTTAGTCCAACCTTTTCATTTTATAGGGGGCTCAGGGAAATGAAGTATTATGGTTATCAGATTTAATGTACAGAGTATTTGTTTGCATTCAACTTTGGATGTAAATCCCAAGGAAGCAGATATCAAGTCTACTGCCTTGGCATGACAACCAGCACAATAGAGAACCACATAACGATAAGTCCTCTGATATATAAATGGGTGAGGTGGAGGAATTCAGAGCTCCAAAATTTAGTCAATGTGGCCTCCAAACAACCACCCACCTAAGGTCAGTTTTCATTTTAAGCTACCTTGTAGCTGCCTTCTATGTAACTAGCATAATTCACTCTCTGGGAAGTTAAGGCAAGGTGAGGGTTGGAGGGAAGATAGAATCTCCATGAACTGGGGAGAGGAGAGTCTTTTCTGTCCCTTCCCACCTCACATTTCAAGTCAAAGGCCAAGTAGGTTTCCCAAGCCAGAATCATGAGCAGCTAAAGCTGGCCCAGGAGAACTGAGTTCTCCAGACATTGTACTTGTCATGTAGCAAGAGATGGTGTGGCTCAGTATTATGAAGCCTGGACTTGTCATCAAGAGACATGGGTTAAAATCCAGACTCTACCACTTACTAAGTAACCTTGGGTGAGTCACCCATGTTCTGGATCTAAGTTTCTTCATCTGTAATAGGGGATAACCATCTAAAGCTCTACAAAAAATACAAGCTACCATTATCATCATCCAGTGGCTATAATGAATGAAGGATGTGGGGTATATGATTACACAATGAAGGTTCCCTGGAAGAGGTAGCACTTGAGTTGGGCTTTAAAGGGTGGATGGGAATCCAAAAAGGTGGGGGCAGGGGGCAGGGGAATGCAGATAGAAGGTGGAGAAGGGATAAGGCCTATTGCCAGGCATAGAAAACAGTGTGACCAGAGGCTTAGAGAAATGAGAAGGTATGAGGCACCTCTGTCTATCTTAGAAGAAGGCAAAAAACAAAACAATCCCTGCCCTCAAGAAGCTTATATTTCCAAGGAAAAATCTGAAAGTGAGCTGCCTCCTGGGCTTAACACCATGGGAAACACAAACAGTCCAGTTTGGAGCACAAAGTATGTACAGGGAAGAGATAAGAGATCAGGGTGGAAAGGAAGTTTGGTGCTAGACTGTGGAAGATCTTGAATGCTAGAGTAGAGTCTGAATTTAGTCCCAAATAGGTAAAATATTGGGTTTGGAACAGAGAAATCAGTGACAGGATTAGATCTATGCATAAAGAGGCAGTTAGGTAGAGAGGTGTCAAACACCCAGAAGCCCCAAAACTCCTGATGCTGGAACCAAATTAAAATATAATTGGGAGATATTTCACAAAATAAATAAAAATAATACAACTGAACATAGATAATGTTAATATGTGGTTTTCTAAGTCAATATGTACCCCACAGTGATCCTTATGGGGGTTTACTGGCCCTCATTTCTATTCAAGTTTGATACCACAGTGTAGTAGAAAAGCCCATGGACTTCAAGGTAAGAATACTTAAATTCAAATCCTGCCTCTGACACTTATTAGCTGTGGGACCCTGGGCAAGTCCCTTAATGTGTATTTGCCTCAGTTTCCTCATTTGTAAAATGGAGATAATAATAACACCTACCCTTACCCTTAAGGATCAAATATATGCAACATGT